CTCTCTGATGTCATTGTGCCACCTTCTTTCAGGTCTTCCCCTTGATCTTTCCCCCCTTTTCTTAGCATCTTTTTGTCCTTCTGCTGTCGTTCACTCTACCGATGTGACCAGCACACTTTGCAGTTTTGTCTGCGTATTAATTTTTGGGTATATGACACTTCTGTTTTTCTGTTGTATATTATGCTTTTTGATTTTTATTTGAAATTGTTTTCTCATGCTCAGTGTCCTCCTTTCCATTGCTCCTCTGTGTTGCCCTTTTATTTTAATTTGGTAGTTCTGATAATAAGCTAGGTTTAGCATTCATAGTTTATTACTGGGGCAAGGCACAGGCAGGAAACGTTTCTTTTTAGTGATATCGGAAGATTTAGATCTTATGTAAAATACTTCTCTGTATTTCCCAAGGCAACCCCAAGCTGCATAAATTCTTCTGTTCACCTCAGTTTTTGTTCTCTTTTCCATACTTATTGTTTGGCTCTAGTGTCACTTTTTCAGTGTGGGCGGTTGGTGCGTGCTCTGGTGTAGTTTGATTCTTCTTTCATATCAAACATCTATCGTCCTTATCTCCCCTTCTTCTTTTTTATGTTTGTTTCTCTCTTGCAACTCCTCTCATCTTCTTGCGCTCTTATGACCTTATATGCAGTTGCGAGCGCCATAAAACCTCTGCTTAAACTTAAAAAAAACCTTTTTCAGTGGTTTTGTTTTCTATAGCAACCGTTTTGTCGCTGGCGTAGTTGGTCATGTATTTATTGGTTTTTATCTTCGTGCATTTTCAAACCTTTTCTCTCTCTCTCTCTTTCTCTCTCTCTCTTTCTCTCTCTCTCTCTCTCTCTCTCTCTCTCTCTCTCTCTCTCTCTCTCTCTCGTTATACATGATGTTGAGGTGAATTTCTATTTGGTGTTCACTTTCAGTGAAAAGTACCACATGTGAATGGTTGGCAGGTTCTCTTGTGTGGTCTGCTCCTTCTTTCCTGTGAAACATACATTACGCTTTCTCTCCTTTTCTCGTGCATGTTACTTACTTGTCACACCTATAATCACCTGCTTGACCTAATTATGTTGCGTGTGCCGTAAAACTCTTACTAAATCAAAACCTGTCACATCGTCGGCGAATCTGAGTTCTATCAGGTGGTCACCGTCTGTTGATGCCTTTTTGAATACATTGTATTTCTTTGATTGCTGCTGTGAATAGTTTGGATGATATAGGGTCTCTCTATATAAATATACATACACGCACGACAACTCCCCGTTGTCGAAGAGAAAAGTGGTCATATTAGAAGTGTGTGCCTTTTTTAAAAACAAAGACAAAACGCAAAAAAGGGTGGTGCGGTGGTGGGTGGAGGGGGGTCGTTTGTACAGGTGATTGTATTGGACAAGTGGTCCTCTGAGCAGGTTCAACTGTATACATGATATTACATAACACACACAC